TAGGCCCCGGCCCCGCCTCCTCTTCGCCGCGGGGCAGGCGTTTTTGCGCTACCAACTGCGGGTCTTCACCCGGCGGGTTTACTCCAGTGACAACGGAGTGGATGGCGGTAGGGCTTCTTTCTGTCCGTGCATTCGCCTGCAGGGATGCTCAGGAGCAGCATCTCAAAACTCCATTTCGCCTGTCTGCGCTGTGCAGTCAGTCTCATATTCTCTTTTCCTCTTTGGCGTCTGGCGGGCAACGATGAGGAGCAAGGTAGCCTAGCTGCACTGGAAGAACGGTGGTTCCTGCAACCTGCAGAGCTTTTTTTAAGACTGCAAAAACCGGAAGTAGCATTTGAGGATTACTTCTCATTGCTTCTTACGTCAATATGTTTTTTCCTCCGTGTTTTAATCGTGACATTAAGTCAATACCCTGGCAAATGAGCGGGTGGGGAACTCAGTATTAAACCTCTGGGGATTAAATTTTAACTGATTCGTTTTGCTGCTTTGAAGTTCATAAAAGCTCAAATTCGGAAGCTGAACCTTATTTTGGATGGAGCCCTTTTATCCCCACCCCCAGCTCCCCCCTTAGTAACCTCCATAGAACACAGTAGACTTATGAGTGATTTTAGGTGTGTGTTGTATTAACTGTCTTGTGCAAACACCCCTGAAGGTTGGGGGGGGGGGTAATGGGAGCATGGGTCTAACACAAATGAAAGTACAAATTTGAGGTAGATTGCTATAATCAATGAATAGTATTTTGGGCCATCTCCATGAATGGAGGTTCTGTGCTATACTCCTATTTGTGCTTGTAGTCTTAGTAGCATTGGAGAACTCTGCTAATTCCACGGTGGAATGCCACAAGGCACTATTGTATATTCAGTCCAATTTACAGCTATATAAAACTGCTGGGAGCAATCATCAGGAGTGTTAGGGCTAGGTGTCATCAACATGTTCTGGATCTGGATCAGGAGAGGCTTTACATATTGTAAACCAATGACTGGATGCACTAATGAGATAATTTCATCCAATAAATCAAGGTTGAATTCTGAGAAGATCTGGTAGATTGATGGCTCCTGGGTCCAGAGTGGTGGTGGCTGCCAGGGCCAGAGAAAGGAGGAGCTGGAAAGTAACTGTGGAATCCATAAGGACCCAGAACAAGAAGGAGGCAGCTAGCAAGAGAGAGATTCCTGCATTCACCCAAAGGAAAGTTCCCATAGAGTCTGCTGGGACCACGATCAAGGCTGAGAGGGTGGAATGGCATTTCATCACTGGAAGAAGAATGGCTGCTATTCTATCGTGAGCAGCCAATGTCAGACTCAGACCCCTGAAGGAAGAAGCTGGAAGAAGCAAAACTCTGGGGAAAGAGGGAGTAGTAAAAGCAATAAAAGTCTGGGAGATAAGTTGTAAAACGATAACAGTCAACAATGATAGTGTTCACCAGTGATAGATAATTGAGGATTGAGAACAGGAGAGGTGAAGTGAAGGATTTATTGTTTAGGCAAAGAAAGATGTTACAGAGAAAGTTTCAAGACTAAAACTAAGTCACTTAAAAGAATTAAGTTAATATAGAAAAAGAACAGATCCTTAGAAATGTAAAGGGATAAGATTTAAAAGTGACACAAATAGGAAACCACTGTCATTAGTATGGGGACATCTAGAGTATTTTTTATACATTTGTACACTAAAGCCCTTTTGGAATAAAAGTCTGATCTCTGCCTTGCTGCCATCATCCGTTGCAAAACAAAAAATAAAATAAAACAACAACTTACCATTTTATCCAGGCTTTCCATCAATAATATTGGGTAAATGACTTCTGTTTTCTCCCCCATCTTTTTAAATGAATATGTTTTTAATTATTGTTTTAATATTGTTTTATATAACCATCTTACTGTACAGTAAACCACTTCAAGATGCAATTGTATGGTAAGCAGTATAGAAATGTATTTAAAAACTAAATTAAAAAAGCCATTGTTTTCCACATGGTAAAAAGGAGGGAACAGAGGTTGTAGAATTATAGCCAACCCAGAAATCTGGGTGAAGTAGGAACTTTTTCTTCCAAGACACCGAGAGGCATACATCAACTGCAACATGATTTGGATGGACATGGCTTGATCGCAATTATCCATGTACTGATTGTCTCCCATTCAGACTATTGTGCTGTTCTTATATGGGGCTGTTTATATAGTTCAGAAACTCTTGGTCCCAAAAGGTCATTTTAATCACATTATACTCTTAGGCAGCCAATCCAAGCCACAACATCACTGGCCCTTCATTGCAGACTCCCACAATTATACCCAAGTGTTGTTGCTGCCCTGCTTTCAATCTGCTTCCAAGCTCAGTTCAAAGAGATAGTTAAATTCACACACAGCTTGGGACTAGGTTACTGAGCAGCTGCTTTTCCCTCAAATTGACATAATCTTATCTTCAGAGGTCCTGCTCCAAACCCTCCCTTCAAATGAGGGGTGGCAATTGAGGGAGGGCATCTTCAGTGGTAGCTCCCTGGTTATGAAATAGCTTTTTCCAAAGAGCTTTGCCTGCTACCATCTCTATGGACTTTCCCACACCAGGTTTTATCCATTCATTCTTTTGAAAATGAAGTATGACATTTAAACTGAACCTCAGCCTCTTAAAAGCTCTCTCTCAATTATTTGGTAGTTTTAACAGTGTTAATTTGCTATACGCTGGATTTTAACATTACCTTTGTGAACTCCTAAGAGAATGGTAAGTAAATATTGATAAATTGGCAAACACGAGTTCAGTGTGGCTTATTTTACAAGCAACTTCAACTAGAGTGCATGACAGCTACCAAATGTATGATGCCATCTGTGGTGGGGGCTATCAGTGTTCATTTTCCTAGTGGAGAACTATTGCGATTGAATACCATGTCCACTAGATGGCTGCAGAATACAAAGAGTGTGCCCTGTAAAAGTCATGTCTTCCCAAGATTAGGCAGTGTTGCTGTACTAAAAGAGGCATGGTCAGCTGATACATATGGGAAGAAAATGCTGGGGAAATCATGCATATTTATTATGTCGGTGTCAGCCACCATTTTCTGATAGGTAAAGAGGTACTGTCAAGTTAAGTAGGTCAGTACATTGATCATCCCTGTCAGTGATCTCATCTGGAAGAGCTGACTCCCTTGGTGTCTCAGGGTAGAATCATTCTTCCCTCTCTGTTCAACATGACTTTCCTCACCCCACCCCAGAAGAAAGAGACAGATTACCTAGAGCCTTGGTATACCAGGCTGCCTCCAAAGTCAGTTTGTAACCTGGGCCTACGCAGATTTTCCACATATCCTAACTGCAATATTTTTAACCTAGACAAATACCAAGTTCTGCATGTATTTCTTAATGTCAAATCAGTATGAGAGCAGAACTTCTTCTCTGTCTTCTTCTCTGAATTTCTGTGACAGCTCCTTTTTTTCATATCTCCTTATTCTCTGTCACTGTCTTTTGTTCACTCTTGGATATCTCCTGTCTTTTTTTCTTATTATACTTCTGGATCACTCCTTTTTTTTTTTTTTTACTCACCATTTACTTTATTTGGCTTATTTTCTGTTACATATGTGTATCAAAGTTTCAGAAGCTTGAACTGTAAAAATGTGCCTTTTCTCCTTTCCTTGAAAAGCAGTTTAAAACATCTAATGCTCCTAGTGTTGTAGCAGATGTTCATATTACAACATTGGTGGATCAACATTAATTCATCTCAAAATTAACACATAAGAAGCATGTCTATTTTGCAGCACAAAGTCTGTGCTTTTAATAGCTATTTTTACAATGTTGTTGTTATTTTTTGGATGTGTATTCCAACTTTTCTCCACAAGCTCAGTGAAGTATACATGGAACTCCACCTCTGGTTTTGCCTGTATTGGCTGGCTAGAGAATACTGGATGTTAAAGCTGAAAGATAAAAAAAAAGTAAAGCACAATTTATGGACAAATATTCCACAAAAACTAGAATGACTAATCCTATCAATAAAAACCATTGGCATGTTTTTAGTACATTTTTAGTCATTTATACAGTAAACCAAACTTAGCAGAGGATATGTGGATGGGGTAGGATGGGATTAGCCATGCCCCCCCCCTTTTTTAATTGTATTTTGTATTGAAAATACCAAATGAACAAGATAGGAAAAATATACATGAAAAGGTGTGGTATTTACCAAAAGAGCTAGTTTAGCTGCCAAATTAAATACAATTCAGTCAAGGCTAACTTGCACTTCCTTTCAGAGTATCCAAATGTAGGGCTATGACTACCAAGTGGAAAATATTCAGTTTCATCACACTATGAATCCGTCCATCTGCTCCTTGTTTAATTTGGCTTTTCTGGAGCTAATATTTCATTAACTAGTCTGGTTTTGAGGACAATTGTATCTCCGCACCAAGTATTTTCTCCCAGTCTAGCTAGCTGTGCATGAAGTAAT